TTTACTACATTCCATATAGTTGCAGAGAATAATCAAGGCCTACTTTGATCAAAAATACATAATAATCCAGATTAAGGTTAATCCAGGTCATCGGAAGGCCTTCCGGTGGACGCTCAGTATTTAGAACCAGGTTATGGGTTAATTTTGTTAAAATATTAATCAGCACTACCAATAGATGCCTGTTGCTGTGGATTTTCAGCACCACCTTGATGTAGACGACTGGTACCTTTTCTCCCCCCGATGGCCTCTTGGAAACCCGGAATAAAGCCGGAACCACTTGGCCAATCTGTTCCAATTTTTAGTAGACCAAAATTTCGAACATTTTTCTACTCACTGTGAAAATTTCAACCAATTTCATGGTTAAACAAAAAAGTTATACCTATGCAAACATTGCATTCGTATACCTGTTCGTAAAAATAAAAACTGCACAAGCGCGTTAGGCCCTCCCCAGAAGTGAAGCAGGTGGTGTTCGTTTGAAACGCTAATAACTTTTCGGAGGTAACTCGGATTCACATCCAGTCTTCAGCCAAGATGTTCCCAATACTTCAAAGGTGCTACATTTTGTACACGAAGAAAATCGACCCACTACAGCGCCACCTTGAGCCGCGAATGTGAAAGTGGCTCGCTCCCCCATACATTTTGTCGATTTTCCCCATACAAACTTCAAGCCGTTTGAGCGAGGGGTTCCCGTGAACCAAATGACTTCAAATTTTGGCAGGGTGTTTCTGTCCCCCAAAACTACCATTCCAGAGGGTAGCGTTTGAAATCCCAGATTTGACCTATTTTGAAACAGTCTAATGTGTATGTATGTAAGTAATAATTTTTCTAGTATATATGTGGGTGCGTGCGACAGAAATAATGACAACAATCACTAACGAGAGAGATACAACAAACCTGCTCCTTCTCCCATTCTTATTTTCGGTTAATTATCCCATAGTTGAATAATCGTTTAATAAATATATAATAATGTCTAACTAAAGTTACTTCACATGATAATCAAGCGTATACCTTTATACCATCGCTGCTTAAGGAAGCAATGATGTCAAATAAACGCTGAATAATCAAACATTTGATCGAATAACCTCTGTAACAATTCATGTAAGTCGAAGAAAAGCTTCTCGACATACCTTATAAAACCAAATAGTTCAATCTTGTGGTTGAATAAGATCTCCAGATTTGTATGAATAAAGTCTGAACAGAAGTTATTATTTAAAATAGTACAAGTATTATTAAGCATGCAGTTGAACAAAATGGTCAAGAAGTCGTTTCTTCAATGGGTAATTGTTTGTTGGGTATACAAGTCTCCAACGAGGAACTCATAGCAGTGGCGAAAGGATTTTGAAGGCGAAAAAAGATCCCGGTCCGGATGAAATCCGGAGCATTGAAAGCGGCGATCAAGGTGTTTCCGGAAATGTTTAGGATGGTGCTGCAGAAATGCCTGGACGATGGTCACTTCACACACAGATGAAAGATACAGAAAGGGATTTTTTTTAAATTACCGAACAGGTTTGAGCCGAAGGGTCTTCGATTTCTATGAAACTTCACCCATAAGTAGAGTTCATGGATGTATGAACAAAAGTAAATTAAAAAAAAAATCAGGGTTGCCAATTTTTCCGGAAAATCTTAGTTAAAGTTCTCCGATTTTCTCGGAAACCACCAACTTCAAAAAATCATAACTTTTGAACTAAGGATTGCACAGTGAAAGCAAAGATGAATACTAAGATGAAACTGTCGGAAGATAAACTTTCTATTTTAGTGTCCTCTTTCACGGTCCCTTTCATCCATTGAATACCCCTCGTATTCAAGGTAATTTTTTGGTTTTGCTGCCCCCTTGGTAGAGATGAAATTTTGCGCGCTTTTTTATCAAACCAAACACACCAAAATCAGAGGTGTCCCATTTTTTAATTATTCGATTAACAACTAATCGATTTTTTTTGTTTGCTGTGCTGCCATTTTTCCACCAATGAGAGTGCAGCACATGTTTAAAACGATCGGTGATGATCCTCTGGAGAAGTTAATGCCTATATCGGCATGATATAACCGATTGCAAATATTTTACTTTTCGGTTCGTTAATCGATTAATCGATAATTCGAATGAAAATCGGCCATCACTAGATGAATGTGAAACGTCATTTCAAATATATGGACCGTACATAAATAATGATACAATTTGAAAGGGATCGGGGCTCATCACAAATTACGTCCACACGGTAACTGAAATAAACACGAGTGTTCACCGGTTGGTGAAAGTTTATTAACAAACATTACTTGTAATTTTTTCAGCTATTGATAAAAATATAGTTGGAAACAAATTTCACAAGTTTTTACCATTAAAGAAAATCCAAAAGAAAAGCTGTAAAAATTGGATTTATTTTTTTATTGAATTTATATAAAAAAAATGTTTTTATGTTAGGAAATTTATAAGCTTTTTTACGGTGAACATTTCAAGATGGTATCCTATACCGTTTTTTAGATATCCCCGAAAAACTGATGACCTGTGTACAGGGTGACCAGTGAATTTTCATTTTGAAATTCCCGGTTTTCCCAGTTTAAATCTTTCAAAATTTCCGGTTTTTAATATTCAACAAAAACGAAATTGAACCCAATTTTAAGAACGGACTGGAAGAAATTAACTGAAAGGATAAAAATAAGTGATTTAAGAAGATTCCAAAGATTCTGGGGCTTTAAAATTTGTGTAGTCTGAGAAACTAGAACTTTATTTTTTCAAAATTTGTGATTAATAACAATCTTTGTGATGCAAGATTTGGAGTAAACAATAACAATCTTTGTGATGCAAGATTTGGAGTAAAAATAATTAAAATGTGAGATGTTGAAAATTTTTCATGATCACAGTGTTGAAAAAATATTACACTTATGAGTCGTGGAGTCATAATTGTCACGCTCTGAGACTTGGAAGCATTTAAGGGGTTATAACAAATTACATAACAATCTATAGAATCTAACGGACAAAACCTGGCATTTTTAGTAAACTTTAAAAGATTAACAAATATTAAGAAGGATTCCCACACAGTTTTCGAAGGAGAAGTTTTGAGCAGATTTCCATAATTATTCTGACATGAAATCCTTAGAAATTGTTAGAAGAATTTGGAAGGATTTCTGTGGAGAAGAATGCAAGTTCTAAATTAAATTGTTAGGTAATTTTAGAAGATTTAAAAAAGGAGTTGTGAAAAACAAAACTTTGCGGAAAATTCCTACGTGATTCTGTGGCGATTTGTATGGGGATCGCGAGGAAAATGACAGATGAATTTTAAGAAGAATTCCAAGAGAATTATGATCAGCATTGAACAAAAAACAGAGTGCTTAGAGTGTTTTGGCAATAATTTCAACCCTAGTGCGAAAGATTCATTACAGAGCTCCAACAAAATTTATTACAAACAATTTGCTGATAATTATAAGGAAATTCTTTAAAATACTCCAAGGAGTTTCTAAATAAAATTACGAAAGATTTCTGCTGTTTTAAATAGAGTTAAAAGAAATTTTTGAAATGATTTTCAAAGGAATCAAAGTCGATAGGCTCAAGGGAATTCTAAGAATTCTAAGGCCCAAGGGAATTCAAAAGGATTCCAATTAAATTCTTAGAAGCGGTTGCAAGGAAATTCCAAAAAGAATTCAACTGTAATTATTACGCGGAGTGTTTTCTGGTTTATTTCAGAACAATTTCAAGATAATTCAAAGCAATATTCCAAGTTAATTCTGGAATTTATATCATGAGAATTTTGAACAACGAAAAATTAAAACCCCGGAATAGAATAATTCTGTTTCGGTTTTTACAAATATTTGTTTCCAAAGTCCAGCATCTTCAATATTTTCTTTTAAGCAAATTTTTCGAATCATTTATTGGCCCGCACGTTAAAACGACCAACAATGTATTATTTGGGTGTTGTGTACTGAACTGTAGAAATGCTAACAAAAAAACTTAGATTTTCTTATATAGGAATAGAAGTAGGCAGATTATTTACAATCCATTTTCTGGTTTGTTTTATAGTTTGGATGTAGGTCCTTTCAAAATGTTATGCGAAATTGGAATTAAAATGATTAAAAAGGTCGAGAAAATGTCAGAGACTATTTATAATCCATTTTCTGGTTTGTTTAATAATAAAAACTCACTGTCCGCTTTCCGACTTGAGTGTGACTTCGATGATGAGGAAACATTATTCTGTATCCCGATGTTTGATTCGGATTTACGTATTCAAGACAGTTAAAATCAACCCTATGTGGTTTGTCTTATGGAATGTATAAGGCTGATGTTTTGGGAAAAATGTATAAGCGAAACACATGAATAAAATAATTGATTTTCGTTTCGTGTAGCTATCAAGCGGTGCTATGGAGGTATCAAAAACCGATTTGTTTACATTTTGATTATACGCCCTTTTCAAATGTACGGCGAGATATACATACTCAATGGAACGCTTATTTTTTGTTTTTATTTTGAATATGTTAAATTACAAAATAGGGGAAACGCTCCTATAGTTGCGATACGGTAGAAGCGTTAGGTTCCTATAGTTGTGCATGGAGACTCAATATAAGAAATTAATAGAAATATCTTAATTTCACGAAAAAAGACACGAGAGGGGGGGGGGGGTTTAGAACGTTACGTATTAAATAAAGAGGGATTACTTTCCGCGTTACATTTTGTTACAAAGGGGGGGGTCGAAAATATTGATTTTTAGCGTTATATAATTAATGGACACCGCCCAACAATATTAACCAAAGCTCACAGCTCAAGTGTAGAAAACAATTCCATACCGAATAGGTCGAAACTATACATACTATAGTACTATAGATTCTATAGATAAGCGGAAGAAAAGTACAATGGACGAGTGCACGGATGGATTTGAGTTCATTCACTCGAGAAGAAGGGACACAAGCTGCGGGCAATGTTTACTAGTTATGAACACTAAATGTTCACGAATAATGAATAATGAACGGTAAGCGATGCGTCAAAGATGTTTAAACATTTTTTTTAATAATCTTCTCACCTGCACAAACAGTTTCTGTAGTAAAATGCGCCTTTCCTTGCTAGTAAATTTCCTTTTATTGATGTTTTCAACTTCTTCACTCATTTCAGGTAAATCAAAAAATAAATATAAACACTTCACTAGAGTTGAAGGAATCGACACGTTCGTCATAATCTGAAAATAAGAACAAATAGGATAATGGTAAAACGTCTCACGACCATGTCACAAGCCATTGAAGAAAAAAGCTACAAGGGACACCCGAATGGGGTTGTACGATCAGTTGACGTAGGACTACGCTCATATATGTTAACTATTTTGATCGAACGTTATTTAAAATTCCCGATATTATTATGACATCCGTTGATTTCTTCCGAAGTGTAATAATTCATCAGTGTACATTTTCCGCCTATTTCTAATAACATTATTTTTCAGTTCATGTGTAATTATCCTTTTTTTTTTCCTTGATTTGTTTTCCGTCGATCTTATTTTCCGTGCTGAGCACCAATGCTACCGACGCCAGGAAGGCAGCTCCCACACCTGGACCCTACCTATCGACCCATCAACTCATTATTATTATTATTATTATTATTATTTAGCTTTATTAAGGAGGCTTTCAGCCTTGGGCTGGTTCGCCTCCACCATCAACTCATGAACCGGGGACCAACGGCTGTACTTCCCTTCCGAAGGAAGGCGTGATCAGAGATGTTATGCCTCAGAACATCCCGGCGGCGCCGACTGGGATTGAACCCAGGCCTGCTGGGGTGAGAGGCAATCACGCTTACCACTACACCACCGGCGCCGCTGTGTAATTATTCTTGTGTTAGAAAATATTCCAAGCCGTTTTGATGTTTGATGGCCCTCAAATGGACCGTTTTGGTGATGTGGTTGGTTTAAGGGGAATTATTTTTGTCGCCCTGAAAAGGACGGTTTTCGTTTGATGCGCATGGTCGTCTGCCGAGCGGCAAGCAAATTACCCGGTTGTTTGCCCTAGGTAAAAGTGTAGCATTGATATTAGACGGACCTCAAGTTTACCATGAACAATGTTTGTCTTCTTTGCATCACAGCCAGCGTTTCTTGTCAACTCACCGATTCCAGCAGCCAAGTAGACTGAAGCACCGGTACCAACAGGCTCGACGTTGTTATTCCTGAGAAAACGATGGATGTGACCGACGGGGAACTGCAGTCGAGCAAAGCTTCTCCTTCACCAGAGTTCTTAAGGCGATCCGTTCGCCATGTGGTCCAAAGCAAAATCGAGCACAGGCGCGATGACACTGGTCTTATATAGTGGCTGCTGGTTGACTGCAGACACGTGATTGGTTAATTGCCTGATTCAATCATCTTTAAGCACGTTGAGGTGCATAAATCTTGCTCACGCGGGTTTTGCCTCTTTAAAAAAAATCCAACTTAACTCTTTGAAGGGAAATTAATGGTGTTGCCCTAAAGAGGACGGTTTAGGTTTGCGCGCATGGTTGTAGGTCGAGCGCAAAGCAATTGATTACCTATGCTCACAAGGGTTTTGCTTCTGGCAAAATTATGAACATTAACTCTTTAAGGGGAAATATTTTTGTCACACTGAAAAGGACGGGTTTGGTTTGTTGCGGTGGTCTGTCGAGCGGCAAGCAAATTACCTGGTTGTTGGCCCTAGGAAAAACCCATCTCCACTTTACGATGAACAACACGCACTATATCGTGACGCCACTTATCACAGGTTCGTATTCTTCTGGCAGCGGCGGGTTTGATGCACGGTACCGGGTTGGCCGATCTTTGTCGTGGTTGGGGAGTTCTGAGATCTGTAAGCTCTTTCTCCACCGATACGGTGAGCTAGTTTGATGTTCTTCGGCATGACAATGACACGCTTGGCTTGATGAAGGGCCATCTTCATGTGTGGTGGTGGTGGTGTGGCTTCTTCACTACTTCTATGGCTAGATCGCTCTTGCAGGCAGCCATGGTAGCAAACTGCTTGCGGGGAGCCTTTCCACCGGTATGTCATATTTTGCGATCGATATCAACTCGTCCGAAGTTCCAAAGGAAATTCGGCTTCGGCTTGTTTCGTTTGGGACCAACTATGTGATGGCTCTGTTAGGAAAGACACCTTGTGGTCTAAGCATATGTATGGGAAATTTTGAGGCTAACAATTTTAGTTAATTTCATAGCTGTTTAACTATTTTTATAATTTGTATTATATGCCACAAAATTGCTGAATGAACCCCCGTCTAATGGCATATTGCATGACATATTTTACATTAATGCTTTGGAGAAATATGCGTTCAAAACCTTACACGAGCAAAGTTGGATATCAAAATATGTACTATCAAAATGATATCTAGTTTTGTTTTTGAAATCATGTTGATAACATATTTTGATATGCTATTTTTTAATATAGGTTGAATTCATATTTTGATATTGTTTTGATAATTCTAAAAATATAATTAAAACAAAATTTGATATTTTATAAAAAGAGCATCCACATTTATCACTATAAATCTACATTTATTTTTATTTTTTCTTCTTACAAGTCAATCAGGATGCTTGCTGTTTTCTTTATGAACATCACAAAGACAATTATGATTTTAACAGTGTTGTTTCACATCATTTATTGATATTGATCTACCTGCTAATTGAATTTACAAATCGATATAAAATCGATTTCGTCCTGTTCGTCTGTAATACTTATACTAATACATTGTCGAATATTGTAATTTAACTTTCGTAGGCTTAGTCGATTTCTTAGCTCATATTTAAACATGTTGTCATAAATCTCATTAAGTATCAGTTCTCTCCCAACAAAATAAATATCATCATTCATGTCTGTTAAAATTTGTTCGATGCGAAAGAACTGATCATTCTTAATCATATAAGAGTCATCGTAGACTAATTTTTACATGATTCGTGTGTCCTATATTGAAGATAATTCCACTAGAGTTTGTCATGAAAACAAAACTCTAAATTTAAAAACTTCACATCGTCTATTTCAATGCTATTGGATCTAATAAACTTCAATCGTTCGTCATATTTTAACTTTTGTTATTTGTCTATTATGACAAAAGCGATTCATTATATACTTTCTTGTAATTTGTACCATTAGATGATTATTTCCAGTTCTGTACTTTAATATGGCACCATTCGCACTTTACTTTTTTGATTTTGAATCTTGATATCAACCAATTGATTTCAAAACATTCAGATTACTAAATTTGATATCATGATATCAAAATAATAACTTATTAAGTTTTTTTTTGTTTTCCTACCATAGTTATAATAACATATTGATTTCTAATTTTGTTTATTATTAACGAAATTACTAATATCAAAACGCATACATGGATTTGTTATCAAAAAAACATGATTTGCTATCTTTTTAATATACTTCATACACCATTTAGATCTCATTTTTGTTATGATTACTGTTAACTCGACCACACGGTAGGCAAAATATGTTATCGCGAACGCTTATATCAAAATATCAAATTTAGTTTTCATTTTGTTTTCACTCTCTGCTCGGGTACCCTTTTTGTTACATGCTCATTTTTCGTACTCGCAAAGTGTACCCCATATAGAAAATAAAGGCGTAGTCCTACGTCAAAAAAAGAAAAACAATAATAATCATGATTAATTGCTGAAAAGTACACCAAAATAATATTGTTTTTCCTTGATTTGTTTAACGTCGATCTTGTTTTCCGTGCTGAGCACCAATGCTACCGACGCCACGGAGGCAGCTCCCACACCTAGACCATCAACTCATGATCCGGGGACCATCGGCTTTACTTCCCTTCCGAAGGAAGACGTGATCAGAGATGATATGCCTCAGAACATCCCGGTGGCGCCGACTGGGATTGAACCCAAGTCTGCTAGGGTGAGAGGTAATCACGCTTACCACTACACCACCGGCGCCGCTCAAAATAATCGTATTATGCAGCGTTTTGTAATGCCTTTAATCCTAAAAGTCTGCGACTGAGCATTAGACTGATGCAAAATTTGGAATTTTCGCTCCACAAAGCTCAAACGGTTCCAAATTGGGCCCTATTAGCCTCCTATTATTTGAACTCATTTAGTGAGAAACTGACTTGGCACAAACCATTTGAAGTTTATATGGGAATTACTATGAAAAAACCATAATTTCGGTTCATATCTATCTCAAAATTCACCAGTTCACTCTACTTTAGAAAATGATAGCTACAACTTTGTTGAAGACCACTTTTCGATCAAATGTAAGGAACAAAAATTATTAATGATTCAAGTCACTGATGTCTTATGATTATACTCAATCAACTGTTCAGCAGGCAACATTGGTGTTTATGGCGCGTAGAATAGAGGACAAAACTCATGGCTACTATGTCACACTGCAGAATACAGTGTTGCCCACAATACAGTAGCTTAATCTTGCCATAAGATTATCAATCTCTTAAACAATTAATAACTATTTAATTTGACGTTTGGGTGAAAAACGATTTTCTGCAAAGTTGATAAAAATTCCCATAAGAATAGCAATAAAAATTTGTTAACAGTACAATATGTAAAAAGGCTAGAAGACAATGAACAAAAAGTTTTGTTTTCCCATAGTAATTTCCATATAAACTTCAAATGTTTTGGGACAAGTCAGTTTCTTAACAAATGAGTTTAAACTTTCGGAAGCTAATTAGGACCCGATTTGAAACCGTTTGAACACTGTGGAGCGAAAATTTCAAATTTTGCATCAGTCTACTGAGCATGGGTTTAACTTATTATTAAGTATTTATTTCTAATTACGCTCAGGATAGGGGGATACGTACCGTGTACCGTGTAAAAAAAACCTACGAGATTTTGATTTTTCACATGTTTAAATGTTTGTAAAAAATCGGATTTTGATGCCATTTACAATTATAGCATGCTATGGTCCACATAGACATATTTTTAAAATTTCTGTATTTACACCAAAAATTGTGATTTTTTTTTTTAAGTATGCCATTCGATTACCTATAGCTTGAAACGGATAATGTGATTGGAATCAAGTCGATAGGTTGTATCGTTGTCGAGAAATCGTTCAAAACGTACGGTGTGAATCGCGAAAAACCGTGTAAAAAAACCGTTTAAAAAAACAGCGTATATGTAATGTATATCAATTATGTGTACACCCGTCGATAGAGTATGTCATCCACCGTATTCTCTGTGAAAATCAAAATAATTCATTGCGTTCG